ATATGGAAGTGGAGTACGTAAAATAACTGTTAAGAGGTAAAAATAACCCTCGTCTACCATAACGCAGACATTCCTGTTTGGAATGATCGCTTCTTGATTGGGCCTCCATAGCCCTTTCTACTCCTATTTTTATTACTGTATAAAGCCTCAACTTATGCAGTTTCATGCAGCCCGTTATTTTTAACGCTGAAGTTTTGTGTATGGTCACTTTTGATCTCTGAAGTCTTTTTCCTTGAAAATTTTGAACCATCCAGAATTGCAGCCTTGCGAAGATCTCTATCCGGAAGAACAGAAGCAGCAATGAGGTGCAGCGCTGGTGCGGAAAAATTCGAGCGCTTGCCAGAACTGGCAAAGCCGACACATTATACGCTGGTGCTAACACCAGATCTGAAGAAGTTCACTTTTGATGGCCAAGAAACAGCGGACATCGAAGTAATTGTTTTTTTTTTTTTTCGTTTTGGGCGGATCAGAAAGTTGACTGGCACATTCCCTTACTCTGTACATCTGACCTTAAAGAAATTTATAATTTTTGAAATACTTGGGTCATCTGTAGTTTTGGTTCTTCAGCTATGCAGGCGACAACTTTTCCACTTCCTCCCATCAGTACTGCGTCATCTGGTAGTCAGCATACTGACAAAATCAGTAGAATTTAATCAAAAATATTCATTAAAGAACTGAAAGATCAAATGGCTTTTTGGACCTTGAGAGGTTAGGTAGTTTTTTGGATTTCACTACTAAAACTATCAAAAAAAGACTTGATTTTTGAATAATTTATACGAATGGATTTGATATAGTGACATATTTAGCGCTAATTTGAGGCTAAAATGTCGAGTTCGATCCCAAGATTTGGAAAAATAACTTACATTTTGTTCCTTCATTTTGTAGCAGATTTTTGCTGTGGCGAGTCAGAACATCGCCATTAACAAGTTTTATGCAAATCTCGAAAGTGGGATTCATTGTCAGCCTTTCGGGCTGATAGTTGTTGTTAGTAACAGATTGCTACTAGGAAGTCTCTCGATTGCCTTCAGCTATAATAAAAAGGTGTTGCGGAGGGAATTTTGAGATTTCTGACCAAAATTATCGGTCATCCGATTGAATTTTTTCATATGGAGTGGGCTTTTTGCTGACATAACATATTCCTTAGCCGAATTACGGATTTTTGCTGCGGCGCATCCCAAAACAGAGGTTAAATCGATTATCGATTAATCTCCACCTGATGGATGCAAAATTATGGGCTGAATCAAAGGCGTTCCGCTTCTGTTGTGTAGCAAACGGAAGCGGGTCAGAAACAGCCAACAGTTATAACGAATGACTTCTTAGCAGTATCGGAAGCTCTACAAGATTAATTGAGCCAAAATTGATGGAGAGAAAAGAAGACAAGAGGGTTGAAAGAATTAGGAAGCCAAGAAAGTGACAGAGTTCCGAAACATACATGTTGAGCCAAATTAGATGGAGAAAAATGAAGACAGGAGAGTTAAGAGTAAATAAATAGCAATGCGCATCAGATTAGCCGGTGCGATCATGCGTTTTGTGCAGTTCAGTCCATCGAACGATTGCCTGTTAATGATTTTCACTGCTTTGTACTTTAGTCTATGCAAAAATACCCATCGAACGATTGCCTATTAATGATTTTCACTGCTTTGTACTTTAGTCTATGCAAAAATAGTTCTAACATTGAAAAACAGTTAAAAATTTCACGCACCAGCGTATGAAAGCTGATTTCGAAACCTTGAAGGAGCAATTGGAAAATAGTTAAAAGTTTCACGCACCAGCGCATGAAAACTGAATTCGAAACCCTAAAGGATGAATATCTTTCCGTGATTCCCGAGTTAATAGTTTACCCGCCAAAATTTTCACGAGGCCGTTGGTAGTATCCGAGAGCGCGGGAACGCTGAATTTGAATGGGCAAGGTTGAGCATGAGCAGGGGGTCATTATCCTAAAATTTCAGCTTCCTAGACTCCGTGGTTCCCGAGATATTAACTTACCCGTGAAAAACTTCCACGGGGCCGTAGGTGTTACCCGCGGGCACGGAGAAGCTGAATTTAAATTTGCTGGGTCACACGTGGGTGGGGAACGTTCTCCTAAATTTTCAGCTTCCTAGCTTTTGTGGTTTCCGAGTTGAAAGTTGCGGACAAGTTGCTGCGGATACACACACACACACACATACAGACAACCCCGTGACAATATGCGTTTTGTACTGCTGTTACACAGCATAAAACGCATAAAAAATGATAGAGTTCCCGGTCCATTGGGATCGACCGGTCATGTTGATAATATTTTGATCAAATCGAACGGACGTCCTGGTGGATTATCTCTAATAGTCATTCTTGCTAACCGCTCCTGGCAGTGTGGTTTTCTGGCTATGCAGCTGACAATTTTTCCAGTTACTTTGTCCAATGCTGCATCGCCTGGTAGTCAGTTTGCTGCTGATTTTACAGTTCACCACGTGTATTAGTTTTTATTCAACAGATAATTATGTGCAACTGAATTTCAGTATACTTACTGTTTCGAGTTTACGAAAACGATAAGGAATCACCTGGCAGTTGTTTCGAGAATTCTGTGCTACTGATTTTGTTGGGGATGCACCCGTATGATGTTACGGGGGTGCACCATACAACATTTCGCGCTCGAAATTTGCCCTATGCTTATGCTTTTTGAATTTTTGTCATTTTAAATTCTTGCAGGTCATCGAAAGCACCGATTATCTGAAGCTGCATGCCAATCAGATCGACATCAAAAATGCTGAGATCACTCTTTCGGATGGAACAGGTGAGAAAATGATTTAATGATTAAGTATGCCACCAAACCCACAAATTTTGCGGTCCTCTAATGATTTTTTTGTTGCTTTTTTAGCATCAGCACCCTCCCGCTTCCTCCTCCTCTTCGACCTTGTACTTGGGATTGCTTCTTTCTCTCCGCGCTCTCCCTGCTGTCCCATTTAGTAAGTAAAAATTTTTATGGGATAAGTGTTTACGTGTGTGGATCGCTCTGTGGCGTGATGCATAGATTGGAGGGCCAATTAGATAAATGATAAGTTTTGTTTCTTATTACGATGCAGATAATAGCAATAATACACAAAGCGTGACGCTTGGGCTCTGACAAACGGGATGGCCTGCTCAGCATTGGATTTAGCAAAGGGGGTTGTGAGATCGAATAGTTCTGGCTTCGAGACGGTGTCCGAGTCCCAGTAGTGTTTGAAGATTGCGACGGCTGGAGTCGTAGCTGGCGAGCCGGGGACGATATCGGTCGAGGAGACTGAAGTCGACGAAGAAGCTGAAGAAGAAACAGAGCCGCAAAGAATGGTAGGGAGGTTTATAAAGGGAGTAAGAGCCACCCCAACACCGGATGTGATAGTTTTTTGGAGGGGTTGAAAATGTACCAAAATGTAGAAATGGTAATTGGGGTAAAGGGAAATTTGGAAAGAGAAAATGGAAATAAGGGTTTTTAAGGGAGTTAAAAAAAGGATTGAAAAGCAAAAATAACAAAAGTGCAGCAACTACGAATGTAGGTGAAATCCAAAAATACGACTAAAACGAAATAAAAAGGACGAGTATATAA